CATATGTTGTGATGTTCATCCTGTGTCTGTCAGGAGATTTATTGACCCCTTGTCGCTCTCTTTTTTTTTCTTTTTCTTTTTTTTTTTTTTAGAGAGTCTTCGGGGATGAGTGCAAGTTCAAGGAGACTTTGCTGCCCAACAACTACAATGCCTATGAGTCTTTTGTTTACAAGGGGTTCTACATCGCCCTCAGCAAGCATGGCCGTGTAAAAAGAGGCAACAAGGCCACCACCGCCATGACTGTCACACATTTCCTCCCGCGACTATGAGAGAAACTGGCAATAACTCAGTAATTTGCACATGTGGATGTTCTTCCAGGTAATATAGAAATACATAGTCATGATATACACACCAATGGACTGCATAAGAAAACAAATATTTATTCTGTTTATAAATATGTATATTTGGATAGCTATCTTTGTATATGTATGCCATACTGTGCTGCTTATTGTTTTTATGGACGGGGAGAGTTGAAGCCTTTGCCTGTCTCACTTTACCTTGGTGCTTGCTGTAACTGAACTATGTGTCACTTCCTTTTTTGAGATGGAGGATGGGCTATATCCTGTGCTTTTAAAGAGTGAAATGAATACTTTTTATTACCTCAAAGAACCACTTTACTAGATTAAGGGATGCATGGACTTTTGCTCAAATATCTGCTAAGTTTATCATTTCTTTTGAACCTTTGAGCGCTTGATGGCTCCCTGCTCGATCGTCCATGTCTGGCAGTGAGGGAAACTTAAATGCACTACCTTTGCTGCACGATTTAAAGGTGCCTTGGTGTTCCCACTTGTGGCCCCCTTAAACTTGCATGTAAGAGACACCTGCTGGAGTCAGAAATAGGGCTGACACTCCGGAGAGGGCCTCAGGAGGGGAGGGGGGGGTTGACTATCTCTGGTTTATTTTCTTTTCTGTAATTAGATCGATTAAGTAATATACAATCTGTGGTCGAGACCAGAGAACGGTCAGCCATAGAGACTGGCGAGAGGCCATGAGTTTGACTGTGCGGCATAGCCAGCAAATAAACAGGGTGGAATACTTATCTATCCAAGCATGGAGAAATTTTTAGTTTGGACCTGGCCTGCATCTGCACAAGAATCAACTGAGCAGATAGAGCGCACAGTAGAAATGTACCTGCATTGACTTGGACAGAGCTCCTGCAGTAAAGTGGGTTGCTGTTTTTGAATCGCAAAGCTTTAGCTGCTTTCGAAAATGATGTCTTCTGTCCATGAAACCAATGAAAATCGATGTAAATAGTCGCAAATGTAAAAGAAGAATTCAGGAGCTTTTTACGCTGCTTTGTCGCAGTTGCCTGGACGAGGCAAAAAGAGTTCAGGTTGCACAGTGAACCATCGATGATGGTGCCGAAATGTTTTGGTAGGAATCGGCCCCCATGTGTTTCTTTCTTTTACTTTGTCGTTGTGTGTTCGGTGGAGTATGTGTGTGCCCTGGGCTGTTTCCCCTGATTGTCTGTGTGCTCTGCAGCAGCACTGCAGTGGCAGCGAGGTGTTGGAGCTGGAGGCAGATAGTTTTTAATGTAATTAGGGATGAGTCAATCATTTGCCCTGAAGGACTAAAGGACAGTGCAGTTGGTAGAATGGATGCACCCTGTAAGATTTTTTAGATAATGTCTTCATTTCCATTGATTGTTGGCTTGATTTTAAACATTTTAGAAGGTCAGCGAGTTAATAAATTACAGCATCTTTTCATAAATATATATATATATATATATATATATATATATATATGTATGATGTAGAAGGAATACATAGTAGCAGTTTGTTTACAAAGCTGAAGTTGCACCTTGCTTTGCAGACTTACTGTTAGTATGTGGACAACAATCAGTTTTTCTTGCCTCACGTAATGTCTGAGAATCTTACAGCGTGCATCTTCCTGTGTAGTTTCTGCAGCTGTTTACTTGAGAAAAAAAACTGAAGCCTGCTCCACCATCAGCCTCCATCCGCTCTTGTGTTTAGAGAGGAAGCAGGACTATTTAAATCCAGGAAAGACGTACGTAAGGGAGCCGGCCCGCTGCCTTTGTTGTTCGTCAAACCCCCTACGGGAATGTGGATCTGCCAGGATGACAGGCAGCCTCCTGCATACCTGAGCACCCCACCACCACCCACCTCTGCTCGTCTCTTATACCCCCCTCACCTCACCACTCACCCACTGCAGGCAGAGACCTTGGGATTCCTGCTGTAACCCAGGAGCTTCCTCCTCTCCTTTCAGCCTTTTTTAGTTCAAGGTCAGAGTCACGGACCAGCCTTGGCCCCAGCCCCAGCGGCCGGGGTGGTCGGCTATATGAGTCAGACTGCTTCCATGAAATAGGAACTTGAAGTGCTTAAACCAACTTTATTTTATAATTAAACACAATATAATTTAGTGGACTCATAGCGCCACAGTTGGTCTCCAACTGACTGGTAGAAAAACACAGCTCTCATAGTTCCCTGCTCCATGATCTACAATATTTCTGAAACAATCCTGCGTCTTTCTCTGAATTCAGAGCCCCACCTCTTTAAAATGCACCTCTACAACATGCATGCCCCTCCCCAGAAATATCCCAACACAAGTAGAGGGGAGGGGACATCTGCAGAGTTAATGCAGTGTGTGAGGAGCAGGCAGAGTCACGCAAAGCCTCACCTCTCCTGCTGCACTCAAATCCTGCGGGACGGCTGCCCGGCCATCCTCAGGACGTGCCCTCTCCTGCTGCTGCTGCTGCTGCTGCTGGGCACTGCCTCAACCCCAAACACCTCTCACCACATACTGACACAGTATCACCTGCTGCTCAACTGTTGTCTACGATGCACAGATCGATTCATACCAGTATTCTTCCCACAGATGAATCTCCTCCTCTTTTTGTTCTGAGGATGTTTTTGTTTTTTTTTCTCCAGTGCTGAGGCTCCCATGACGCAGAGCAAATTTCACTCAAAGTTTCAAAAAACTAAAAAAGACTTGTTGCTGTTGTAGACGAGGCTGCATGCAGTACATTTCTGTGTTGGGTGGAAATGTTCAGCATTTTCAGCCGAGGAAGGTGTAGAAGTAAATTCTGCATGCGCAGCAACGAGTGCTTCTAACCCGGTCAAGATGTCTGACGTCACTAGTAGCACCTTATTAACAACATCTTGATTATATAAAGACGTGAGTTTTCTCACATTTCTGTCAAAAATAGAGCTGGATCCCTAAAAGAGTGAACATTTGTGTCTAAAACAAAAAGCTCACCTTTCAGCTTTGACCAAAAAAATTTATCCAGATTGATCTGTTGTTTTTTTTCTTTCCACATCTTATCATAGATCAAATTTCAATTAATTCAAGGTGAGGATCATCTTTTTTTAAATAATGTTTAATGTATTATTGGCATGCCAGGGCCCTGAGTTTGATCAGGGGTGTGTGCTTTATGTGTTTTGTTTTTGTTCGTTTTTAACTCCTGCTCTGAATGGGAGTGAGCCTCCACTCTATTCCTCTCATCTCTGTTGTCATATACCTCACCTTCTGCCTTAGTTTTGGTTTGCTGATGACTGTAAATTAAGAAGAAACAAACTCCAGTTATTTGTTTCTGAAAACAGACAATGCTAAGTAAGGATATTAAAGTTTTTTCCTTTTATTTTTGTACGTATGTGCTGTGCACAGCAGTCTACTGTATTCCTGAGATACCAATAAAAGTTTGTTTTTTTTAACTGCTTGCTGGTAAAGTGTAATTCCCTCTGTGGTATCTGATGAACTCTGATGTAACTATTGAATCTAGCAGTGATGGAAGAAGTACTCAGATGCTTTACTAAGTAAAAATACTACAATAACAATATAAAAATACTCCTTTGCATTCAGAAGTATTATCAACAAAATGTATTTAAAGTATTAAAAGTAAAAGCACTCGTGCAGAAAAATGGCCCATGTGAGTGATATATTAATCGATACTATTAGATTGTTAATACTGATTTAACAATGCATAAGTCTCATATCGTTCTTTATGTAAAATATAATTATGAAAATTAGCTGTAGCTCTGAAATACTGTAGTAAAGTAAAAAGTACAATATTTCCCTGCCAAATTTTTAAAGAGCATGAAATAGAAATACTCAAGTAAAGTATGAGGACCCCAAACTGTATAGAAGTACAATTAAGTTAAGTTCCACCACTGGTATTTATTGTTTATATGTAACAGTTAGTAAGGATGTGAAATATCTAACTGCACTAAATGATCTTGATTTCCTTCAGCTGGAAGTGGGTGGTGAGTTTAATTCTCTGGAGGAATTTCAAGACAAACTTTTGAAATGCCAACCTCCAGGAACATTCTCTATAATGGTGCACAGTTAAATGTGTCCTACGCATCCAAAAGTGCAGTTTTGCCAGTCTCAAGCACAGTAACTTTCCAGGAAGTCGCTCACAGCTTCGCTGAATGAGGGCGTGGCTCCCTCTACTGGAGGAAGAGTGGAAATGATGAGTTGGGCAGGTGCGTAAAAGCAGCAAATAGAACTAACTTCAAACTTTGACTATATGTTCAGTCGATTGCAGTTCAACAAAATATATTGCAAATTCCTTAATCAAGAATTGTGAGGTTTGCAGAAACTGGAAACATCAGTTGAGCTCATACACAACTAAAATGATTATATTTTATCCCTGATTAGATTAAAATATCCTTCTGTATTCGTATTATTATTTTTTATATATTGACCAACACACAATGTTTCCAGCTCCAACATAAACCTGAACTGGTGGACCATTAGGAAATAGTCGTAAAGATGGATGAGTCAAGACGTGTCACCAAAAATAAGAGTCCTGTTGTCTGACCAAGAGTATCGGGATAAACAGACAGAGGTGGAAATGGCCCTTCCGCTGCAGCAAACCCGCACATCTGCTTTGGGGGCGAGTTTCTTTTTTTTACGCAAAGGATGTGAGCAGGAGTGGCACTCAGGGGGCTTTAAATAGGAACTGTCTCCAAACTTTGGGACAACAGAGCATCTGAAAACTCCCAGCAGCTCTCAGTGGAAAGCACCGGTTTTGCTCCAGGATGGACGTCAACAGGAGACTGGGGATGAGGGACACTGTGCTGGCGCTCTTACTCGCTGTCCTTCAGGGATTTCCTCTCGGGGAAACGGCCCCGAATCCATCCCCGCTGGTTGGATCCAACTGGGGGAACCCGAGGAGATACATTCACCTGCAGACATCCACAGACCTCAACAACTTCTACTTGGAGATCAGATTAGATGGCACTGTGCGCAAAACTACAGTCAGGAGTTCATATAGTAAGCGTTTTTACCGTTGCTATCTTTTTTTAAAGTTTATTTCTAGTGTGGTATATGAAGGTCTGTTTAACACCTCTTTCTCCCCTGCAGGTGTGATTTTACTGAAAGCTGAAACAAGGGAGCGCATCGCCATCCTCGGCGTGAAAAGCAGCCGTTTCCTGTGTATGGATTTGGAAGGCAACCCGTTCAGCTCTGTAAGCCAATACTTATATTTTCAGGTCGATTGATTGCTACTTTCAATTCAGTCGAACACCTAGACTTAACTTTTAATTTTTAGTTCGTCTAATTTGGCACCCTTCTGAGGTTTTACGCGTCGTTTTAACGCCACTTTCTATTCTTTTACGCACAATCATACTGCAGCTATAGGTCGTCTTAACATCAATTTATTTGGTTATATTTGAATTACTCAGCTCGACTCATAGTTACCATTAACTTTATCTATCCTCTTATCTCTTTTTGCATTCATATTTGGCACCATTGCAGGGATTTACGCATATTTTTAACACCGCTTTTTATACTTTTACGCACAAAATTTACTGCAACGATAGGTTGTCTGAACATGAAATTATTCATTGCATTTCTTTTTTCATTCACCAAGTGAACAAACTGCTAACATAGTGGCGAAGTTATTTTACTTTTCTGTAGTAGTTTTTCTTCCGTTTATTAAAACGAGAGATCATTACCGAAACAAGGCGGAATGAGGAAAGTTACAGTTACCTATGGAATGAAAACCCTTGAAAAGTGAGAAAATATATCAACTTCGATTATTTAATTACTTTTATGCGCAATATTCGTGCGTATATTTGCAAAACAGTTTTATTAGACTTACCTCTTAAAGACTAACAAGTGGGAAAGTACGATTATGTGATTGTTTAATTAATAAAACGCCTTTTTATTAGTGGTCATAAGCCTATTTAGTTAAGTCCAGCATATTCAGTGTATCAGCCGATTTGGGGATGATTATAATGATATTTTGATACAAATAAAAGTTTGTTAATAGACGAAACTGATGTTTAATGTCTTGCATTTAGAGAAACAATAGGATATTTCCATAATGTAGTTTGGTTTTCTCCTTCCCTCCTTCTTCTCTCAGCCCATCTGCCTCAGAGACGACTGTCTCTTCAACCACAAGCTTCTGGAGAACAACCGGGACGTGTACTACTCCAGCCGCACCGGTATCCTGTTCAACCTGGAGGGCTCCCGGCAGGTGTACTCAGCGGGTCAGAACCTGCCGCAGACCTCCCTCTTCCTGCCCAAGAAGAACACGGTGCCGCTGGAGCGCCTCCTGCTGCACAGGGAGAAGAGGAACCAGGTGGTGGATCCCTCCGACCCGCACAACGTCTACCTGGGTCAGACAGAGGAAGGCTCGGACTCCCGGGCCTTGCCGGAGGACGACGCAGAGCTGGAGTTGGAGGTGGAGGCAGGGGACGACGGACGCAACGTGTCCCGGGAGACGCCGCTGGCTCCGTCTACCCACGACCCTTGGAACGTGCACTCGTCCAACCCAGCCAGCCCTCGGACCTCCGGGACCATGGGGTGACTGCGAAGTGTGGGCGCTCCTTTTACCTTACTATAAGTGAGTTCAAGTTTAAGCTGGTAGTTTATCATCATACGAGACAAAAAACATAAAACATCACAAGTTATTTTTGAAAAAAACTGAAAGGAGAGCATTCACGTTGCTCCTTCTTTTCACACTGTCTTAATTATAATGTGTTTTCTGCCATCAATCGTTCAGAGAAGCAGTGTGTTTATACACTGAATGTACAAAATATTAGACTTGACTTGCAGCCCCTTTTGCACAATCCATATTGTCTGAAAGCTCAAAACTCTTCTGCTTCTGTTAATTGAACATCTCGTGCTCTGAGATCATAGGTATAATAAGTTAAATCAATAATGGATGTGTTTTACCTGGATTTTACTCATCAATGATGAATATTTTGTACATTCTGAAGCAGGTTTGGTGATTAATGGAGGATATGTTACTTCACCGCATCAAAAAATGCTGTTATGAGAAATCTGGTAACTTTTAACAAATTAGTTGTTTAAATACCAAGATGAATGATCCAAATCCATTTCCCATCTCCATCCTTTATAATCAGCATGCATACATTGTCTTTGTTTCTCTGTGGTCTCTTCTCATTGAGGTTTTTACAGCTGGTCTGAGAAACCCACATTTCAGTGACATCGATTTTATCTCAAAAGACAGAAGCCCGACTTAGCCTACCTCTGGAGGACTGAAGGCCCTGTCTAACTGATGTGAAACTAGGCAGGCATGATTTCAAACAAAAAAATATATGCATGAATATAACTAAGAGATGCATTTAGTAGAGTTAAGATGAAGTTCTGCCTGTATTTTGAAGTCCTAAGTTTACTGACTTGGATATAGAAGATTTGAAGTTAGTTTAGTGTTAGATTTTGAACCTAAAAAACAGTCGTTCCAAGAACTACATATCACTACAATCACTTCCAGTGTCCAATATATTTGTATTTTTTTCCACCAATAATACATCCTATAATTCATGACTTGAAGGGATATAACTACAAGGTAAACAACCTTTTACAGGGCAGTGATCTTGATATCAAATCTGAACTCTTGCTATGTAATTTTTACAGGTGCTGGGCACCACCAGCAAACACAAAAAACAGTCCCAAAGAGTATTTATTTATTTAAAACCATTCCTTTAGTGTTATTTATGGTATTTATACGAATGCTTTACATTTAAATGTACATATAAGAAAACATGGTTTGTCTTTGAATGTATGAGTAGAAGTTGTGGATGGAGTGTTGTTTGAATTTGGGACAAAATAAACTCATAAAGGAAACATGGTCTGTGTTGTGTGTTATTTTATGCAAACCTAGGCTTGTGTGCTTGTGGAATCTTTCAACTCTGGTGCTTTAACACCCCGTGTGCTGTGTCATTTGATAAAGACAACATGTACTATGCGAAAAGGAAGTCATGAATGTGTAAGCAGGTTTAACATTGACCCAGTTACTGTGGAGTTCCACTCATTAGCTGAATATCCTGCACTTTTACACCTCCTCTGCTTAATTAGCAAACAGGTACATGAGCTACATCCCAGTCGTGTCACCTAAAAATACACTTTAGTGCCCTTTGTACTTTCTCTAACTGCCAAATTGGTCATTGTCGTTCATTAACCTTTGACGGAATAGTTTGACATTTCCCCCATTGCACTAGAGATTCCAGGACTTATACTGTTCCCAGCCAAGAACTAGTCCAGTCACAGAATACAGCACAACACAGGCAACATAACCCCGCTGAAACATGACAAATTATTTTTACATATCAAACTATATTTAACGTGATAATCTCTGAACTTTAGAGGTGTTTTTGGGGTGATTTTATTATAGATACAGATGTAGACTTAGCCAGATTGGCAACAGCTATAACTGATTTATTGTTTAAGTCCCTTGTTTAGCAAAAATGTAAAACATTTATTGGAGCCAGCTTCTTAAATGTAAAAGTTTGCAAGTTTCCCTAATTTTCTATGATAGCAAATTCACCATATTTGGGTTTTCAACTGTTGATTTGACAATAAAAGCAAGCTGAATGTGTTATCTTGGGCTTTGAGATTTATGATGGGCATTTTACCACTGTTTTCTGTCATTTTATAGACTACAAAATTAATAAGTTATTAAAAAAAATAACTTTCACACCTACTGATAATGCAAATTATTGGTTGCAGCCTTAATAGTACTTGTATGATGTAATAATTGCAACTTGCCTGAGGCTGGAAGCAGTTTGCATTAAATAACTACAACATTTAAGGTATTAAACTAGATTTTGACTGAGTCCCTTCATAAGACACAGTTACGAGATAGAGGACAGAGAACCCGTCATAGTCAACATTTAACTTCAGTGCTGCAAATTTCTATCAGATTATATAGACCCAAATGATACGGAGTAAACCAGAGACTTTTGGGCTCCTCAGTAGTTGCTCACTTGATAATTTAGCCCTACTATAAGAAAGCAAATGGGAGTATTTCCCAACATGTCAAACTAACTGCTTTAAGAGCAGATGTTAAGACTTTCTAAGATGCTTCAGCAAGATGCTGTACTACTGCTCTGTGAGGGTGAATGCACGTCTCTCAAACCTGTTAAAGCTCTGCACAGCTCAGAGGTGACAGTTGTACAGAGCCCAGAGGTGCTCAAACTTTTCCCACTCACTCAGGATGAGAAAACTGATCCGAATCAGTTCTTAAAGATAAGATCCATCACACCCTGAGAGCCTTTCAGATCAGGGATACCAGTGTGGATTGTGTGTGTTTGCTTGCACCTGGTTACTAGCAGTGGTGGAAGAAGTATTCACATCACTTGATCACATCATCATTACTCAAAGTAAAAGCAGTAACGCAGATTAATAATCCTCCCTTAAAAGGAAAAGCCCTGTTTTCCAACCCTTACTTTTGTTAAAGTGTAACAGCTGTGTCAGCAAAACATGTACTTGAGGTATCAGAAGTAAAAGTACTCTTAATGCAGCAGAATGGCCTCTTTAGGAGTTAGATTGCTATATATAATTTTACTGTAATGTTATTACTGATTTATTAGCATATAGGCAGAATTTTAATGATGTAGCTGTTTATATTTATAAGTATGCATGAGACTTTTTTGTTAAACAGAAACTCAACAAAGATTCAGTCTTGTCATCTTATATTGCACAAGTAAAATGAGCAGCTCTACAGCAACACAGGAGACGCATCAACTTGAAAATGCCACACTCACCAACAGTGTTCAACAATACAATAAATAGTCTGACTTTGGTATAACATGATAAAAGAGGCAATAAAATGAATCATATTAAATGTGTAGTATGACACATAAGTCCTTACTGGCCTACAGTTGGAGGGATGATGAAATGGTTTGATAATACTGTACTGCACAACTATTTTGACTATTGATCCACAGGAAAACACTATTAATTACTGACAAAACATCATTTACCCTGTGCATTGTTGAATTCAGTCACCTGTGGTAACTTTGAGGTCTTTGCCTTTTATTTCCCTTTAGTGTTTGTGGCTGTTTTGTTATACGTCAGATATACTGTGTATCTGCACAGACAGTACAGACCCTGCACACATAAAAGGTTTTCCTCTACTATTCAACAGCTGTGAGGTTTTCCAGGTGGTCCTTTCTGTTGGTGAAAACACATCGAGCAGCAGAGAGGACCGGGCCGGACTCGGACTGACTCAGAGTGAGAATAAAGCGACTGATGCCGGTGTTTGGACAGGGGGAAAAAAGGTGGGACATCTTCACCCCTGGAGGCAGAGAGCACTTTAAGTCCTCTACAAGGTGCCTGATGGCTACACGGATGTAGGCGCCGTGGCTCACGACCAGAGCGTGGACTGACAGTCCCTGCAGACCATCATCAGCCAAACCACCAGAGGTGACGTCCGAGGCAGCTGCTGCCGTCTCATTTGCAGCGTCTCCGGATGGTGACGCTCCTGTAGAGTCATCCGGCCCTGACGAGCCGTGTTCATCCAACATTCGCTTGAAAAGGACTTTGAGGAATTTTTTGAATCGCAGCTTCACCTGGAAGCAAGGTGACATGATCCAAAGCTAAGACATCAAAAAGATTCCTCAACTCCAGCAGGTTTGAGAGCTCGCGACAACTACCAGCAAATGGCAGTGAGTCAGAAACAGAACAGAGTCTCTGTTTTCTTTGTTAGTTAAAAGAGGAAATTAGGGCTGAAATGATTAATAGACTAATCTGCAACAATTTTGACAATCAATTAACTGTCATTTTTCAAGCAAAAGTGCTCAAAATTCGCTGGTTGCAGCTTTTCCAGTAACGACATGCTGCTTTTCTTTATTGTTCATCATTGTAAATTGAATATTTGGATTTTGAATTGTTCATCGAACAAAACAAGACATTTGAAAATGTCAACCATTTTAGGGAGGAATTCATTGACATTAGAACAGCAGCATGAGCAGACACACATTGTCGCTGTCAGCTGAAAACCATGTACCTCCACATTTGGTGAATTTTAAACTTTCACAGAAGCTAAGTGCTCCTTTCAGGTGGAGAGAACCTTCTCCTACATCATAAGCTGATATAACACTCCCCTGTCGCAAAGCTCAACACAAGGCTGTTCATCTTGTGTAATGAAAAGTTCACATTTTTAAGATAAATGATTGTTTTTAACTGGAATATAAAAGTCTACTACATTGAGTATTGCAGCTGATAACCATACAGAAATAGTTTTACAATGCAATGCCCCAAAATGAACACTACATGGTGCTGTTGTACAAGCAATACTCTTTTGCCCTTGGGGTTCCAAGTGTCTGTTTTCTACTGTGATTAAATCAGTACCCTAATGATGAATCCTGACTTTAACTGACTCACCTGGTCTAAAGTCTCTCCTCCTGGTGGTGTGTAGTCACGGCATGACTGGCCGGCAGCATTGGCCATGTTCTTCAGATCCTCTTTTGGACGTCCTTCAGCAATACCAAAACCCTGCGTGAACAACAAAACCACAATTTAGAGCTCAGCAAAAAAAATGCTGTAGTTTTAGATGTAAAGCTGTGATATTTTGGATGTAGTAGAAAGCCAACAGATCTTACCCTCTCTCTGAGTAACGGCTCCAAAACCATCTCCATGCCAGAACAGTGAGTGTTGTTCCTCAGAATTATTTCAGCTGTCTGATGGAGGAAATGGAAATTACTGACTCGAGACATTTAAAAGTGCCAAAAGAATCTGTCATGGACAAACTAAAAAGTCACTCATACATTGTCAGCACCAGTGAGTCAAAGCCCATAGAGACATGAATGTTCACGCAACTATTTCATTTCTGGAAGTCATTCACATGCATCCTGTTTTTGTCTTGTGCTTCACAATTAGAAGAAAGCAACAGTAACATTTTACTAGGTTGACTGAAATATTTGTTCCTGATGGGAAACTTACGCACTGGCTCCCATTACATCTAAGGAAGGATCAAGTATCACACACAGTACTTACTGCTTATTCATAGTAAAATACGGAGATTTGAAGCTCCAACTGTGACACAGTGGTGTGCTGAGAACCTCCAAAATAAAATGTTAAGTAAAAGCAAGCATCATTCAGCTCAGGTCCAATCACAGAGCTTCTTTTGCATCTTGGTGCTCAACCCTTCCTATGAGCTAACTGTGGGTTATTCAAAAGAAAAGTTTCATTTGTCAACAATTGTTCTGATGACAGAAACTGGTGCTAAGCATTACTGACCTGTGCTGTTAGTATCAATGTATGAGATATGGAGGCAAATTATCACACAAGAGTTTGTTAAGATTTTGATTCTTCATTAAAAGGAAACAAATGTGTTAGGTCTGACTGGAGAACATAGGCCAGGTCTGGAATCACTTTAATAAAAAGGTCACTGATGTAAGGCTGTTGCACAATGTTGGTTTTGAAATAAAGACTTTACTTCTAGGAAATTTAATCAACCCACATGAGAAGCTCCTCCAATGACATACGAGGTGCTGCAATTTATGCTCATACCCTGTTTATGATATCTGGGTTCTCATCATGCAAGTACATTTGAATGTAAATCAGATAAATTATTGGATCAAGTATTATCAAACCTCATGACTACTAGGTTTACAAGAATACAGCTGGCTTTATTTTATGTTTTATGTCAACAAATCCCATGAAAAGACCAAAACCAACAATGTGTTAGTCTGTCTCTGTACTTTATGACTTTCCCAGTCTGTCTGTGCCACTGAGCCCCAAGCTCATTTGTTCCTACTCAAGATAAATATCTTTTTCTTTTTTATTCATGTCAAAAAGCTCAGTTATTTCCTAATACAGCTGGGCACTATAGTTTTTAGAAAACATTACTAACTTAACAGGAATAAATAGTGCATTTGTTGGTGACTATTTTCTACAGTGGATTACTACTCCTTTGGTCCTTTAGTGAATATTCCAGTCCAACCGCAGGACAGTGTTGGTGAAATTGCAGTGTGTGTGTGTGTGTGTGTGTGTGTTCATAGTAAAGAAGGAAAATGTCACTCAGTGTAACAGTGTGTTTCATTGATGAGTTTTTCATAGGTTTTGGAGAAGAATGGAGGTCTATGGCACAGAGGACTAAGACATATCAGGCTTTAGATACACAGGTAATAGTTGTTAGAAGATAGATCATTATTATCATATCATAGTTTTGGTCTTTTCATGGGATTTGTTGACAATAAAAAAATTATAAAATATCACCAGCCTTATTCCATAATATGGCAACAGCACCACATAGATACATAACAAATACACAGCAGTTAACAGGAAGCAGTAATTTTTCTTTCACTGTCACCAAATATCTGTGATATCCAGATGGTACTTGTTATGGCCAGTTGTCAGTTGCCCAACAATAACTCATTTTTCTCTTGGTAACCCAACAATACTGCCCAAATTAAAAATGTAGGCATCTATCTTACCTGTACAGCCCGTTGTAAATTACTGGCAAACACATTGTTGAATGTGATGTCTTTGAGGTATTGTCCTACTGCTTCACCCTGCTGCAGACCTGTCTCAGACAGGGGAGTGTCCACACCTTGACCTAAAAATACAAAGTACACATTGTTTTCAGTCTGTGCAGTAAAGATACAGTATCTGTACAGTGGACTGTGGAACAAGTTGCACAGATAAACAAATCTTTTACTTGAGTAAAAGTATCAATCAAAATCATATGTAAGTAGAAGTGCAGAAGTATTATCAAAAAAATGTACAGTATCAATAGTAGAAGTGATATGCAAGTGCAACATGTAAGGATATTTTAATGCTGTAACACACATCTTTAACCTGAAGCTGAATTCATGCTTAGATGCAGGTTACAGAAGTTATAACGTACCTTGCAGGAGCTTTTCCCTGTTGTACTGTGTTTCCCCACTGTGTGAAAACATAGCAATGTCGCTGAATTAGCTTAAACATATAAATATCTTTTAGCGGTGACAACAGTTGTCAAGTCGTTCTGTAGTCACATAAACAGCTAAATTAAGAGGACTGCCACACACTGTTCATATCTAAAGTTATTCGTCTTGTTTCTGTTAACTAACCGTTGAGCTTCACATTCAGCCGCCATGCTGCTCTACCAACTGACAAGACATAGTGCTGATGTAGAACAGACTAACATTACCGGTTCATTCGTGTTCAAGTACTCTGGAAATATGTATAAGGAAAATTAAGCCAGTAAATAATCACTTACTGTCTTATGAGCGTTAAACTAAATGTAAACATCTTCAGCAGCGGATCACGAGACACTTCCCGGTTGGTTCATCTGCAATTACAGTACGTAGCCTCTTGCGTCATGACGCAAATCAAATCGCATTGCAGAGCTGCGTAAAGAACATAGGTGCGTTCGAGATCGACTTGGGCTGACTTCGTCTAACTTGATGATCAACGTGAACTGCCGGTGACTTCAGGGGCGGAGAGAGAGTACACCTGTGTCACAGCAACAGGTTCCCCACGTCAAAACAACGCATTGCGGAAAAACTGTAGAGCTAATCAATGTTTTTTTTTCTTCTTTATTTTATGTTTAAAGTTATGATTGTTACCCTCAATATGTCAGACATCAAAACCTATTCACACTGTTTACTCACCCAAACATGTTGCTTAAAACATGTTCAGGTCAGACACAAGTTTACCTAGATTGTATTTCATGTGTCAAAAGTAAAGTAAATGTAAACAAATATCTATTTCTGAGAAATCTATTCTTAAGGTTAGTCTTCTGATGGTTGGATGGTTGCTGCAGGTCAGGGTTGCTGGGGTCAGGGAAGGAGGCCCTAGGCTTAGCCGGACATTTGTCAGTTGGGGTGCTCCATCACCGATGTCAGAAATCCTCAGTTACATGTAATCTCACTGAGAACTGGTGACATCACAGGTAACTGGTGACATCCCGGGTGACGTCACCAGCTGTTCACTAAGAACTGTTGACGTCACAGGTGACGTCACCAGTTCTCACTAACAGAGGTTGTAAATAGAAGCCATAACTGCTGTCAGCGTACATCCACAATCCCACAGAGGACATGTGGAAACACCCCGGCGGTCAGTGGGGGCCTCCGCACGAGCCCCAAGCTCGTGTCTCGGAGGCTTCGCCATTGCCCGTCTGTGAAGGCAGCTAGCTTGACGTTCCCCTCGGCCCGGCGCCGAGCCAAGCCAGCTGTCCAGGAGGCAACTAGCCTCTCTCGGCCCGGTACCGAGCTAAGCTAGTGGCCATGGGAGGCAGCTAGCCTGACCCCCCACCACCCCACCACCCCCGGCCCTACGCGGCGTCGGGGATTGTGAGGCGGCGGGGGGCTAAACTAGCTGCCGTGGGAGGGAGTGATAACCTGTGACGTCACCAGCTCTCAGTGACATCACATGTGGCTGACAAATTGTGACATCATCTGTAATGGATGATTTTACTTATTGGCTAGTTTTACATGATTTTAAACAAAAAGGTTATTCTGTTATATTTCATATAGTAGTAGTAAGGTCAAATAAGTTCAATGGTCAACAGTGTTAAGATATTTAGAATTTGTTTTAATTTAATTAGTGAAAATAAACTTTTTAGGTACTACACATTTATTCTGTAAAGCGTGTTTCAAGCATGTCCAGTGTGGATATCTGAAATATTTGGGATGATGAAACAAGAACCAATGATCCATCTTTATTTCCACCAAGCTTGCAGGCAAATTTTCATACCAAAAACTTTTCTTATGAAAAGAAGTTTTTCTTTTATCCCAATGCTACTTGTTTCTTGTCTTTCTCAGGTTGGATATGCATATCTAACAGTAATACCAGAGACAGTAAAGCAGTAGCACTTTTTCTCTTACCACTTGTCCATGTTTTTAGTGATTTAGTCGCCCTCTGGTGGCTACAGGGAGGTAGGCGCTCATTAAAGTAAAGGCACAATCCAACAGACTCATTAATTCTACAGAGAGGTAGATCGAACTTTGTGAGGAAGAAGACAAATAAACCAGTCACTTGATTTTAGCCAATTTATTGAGCACAAATTTTTTGAGGTACACTGTGTGGTTGCACATGGAGAAAGTGGGGGGTGAGTTTGAAATAACAACCACACTGAACAATGATAAAACATTCTGGTGGTTTAAACTTCGACTAAATGGGTACCTCAAAAATTAACAATATTCAATTTTATTCCAAATGAACTGATCTAGACATGCCAATGAAACTCCAAGTAGAAAGAAACAACAACTTTTTTTTGTCTTTCCGATACATGTATAGCATACAGTACAGGCTGTTTTAGACTTAGCACCAGATAAATGAAATAACCTATTTTAAAGTATAGGCACTTTGAACTGCTCTATGAAATCTGGCGGTTGATTTTTCTATTTTTTCCTTTTTGTTTGATTGATTGATTGAAAGAGAAGAACCACCATAGCTCCCCTCATCCAGACAGAAAAAAAGTGAAACCCGTCCAACAAAATCAGAGTGAAAACGACATGTGTGGTGTGAAGTGTGATGAGGTAATGATGAGATGGGCTCTCGCTCTATCTGTCCAAATTAACCTGAGGTACACAAACATTACAAAGAAGCAGCAAGAATATGATAGAGTATAAAGATACAAATGAAACAATAAAAGAATAAAACATGCTAATCAAAAAGATCTGCAAACACAAGTACTTCCAGTCCCGCACCAAACTGTGTTACGTTCCCTCCAGTACACATACACAAGAAAAGCAGACTTACATATACAAAATTCATAATATAGCAGCACACAAGTGACTCACAATAAGGCATCTTTGTGTAAGACTAGAAAAGAAAGCAAAATAGCAGCAAGAAAATGTGTATAATCTATTTTTCTCACTTTGGAATTATGTCTCACAAATTATACACAAAACCTTTAAAAGCATAAACATATTGTCTGTTTAAAGCAAGTTTTTTTTTTGGAAAAAAAAAAAAAAAAAACAATTTTGGCTTTTGCACAACAGAACATGCATGAATACAATTTAGAAACTATTTCTGTTCTAAAATGTAATGAGGATTTGTCGCATTTCTGTTCTTGGGGAAATTGGTTATATACAAAATTTCACACAATGTAAACCCCTTCCTACCCATGTCTTTAATGGAGAGAAGTCCTATAAATGGCAGTTTCAAATTTCGTTCAGAGAGCAGTTTACATAAAAAACAGCTAAACATTTTGGACACAGTATGTGTGTATCTCTTATTGGAAGGTTTTGGCTATGAGTTAAAAAAATTCAAGTAAATAAAAGCATTGAATCAAAAAAAAAAAAAGAAAAAAAAAATCTAAGTCTACATGTGACTTGGCTTTCCGTAGTTTTCTATACTATTATACTATAACACCAATTATCCTACATCTACTCACCTGTCGAGGCGTAGATTTCAAGACGTGTGTTACCCCATGGGAATCCAGCCCAGAAAAAAATCAAATAACTTAAAAGAAAAACCTAAATAAAAACAAAAAAATGACCCTAACAACCCACTGAACTCTCCTCAACCACCATCCCCTTACCAATTTTAAGGAGTGTGTTTTTAAAAGTGCATCAATATTGTTACAAGTCGCCCTCTCTCCAAAGAGTTAAATGTTAAAATTGATAACAGGAGAAACTGCGGCACACCCAAACTGATCCTGCAGACATCATCAGGGATTTTTCCTCCTTCTGTGTGTCACTCAAGTATCGTGCAACTGCAGAAACATCATATAGCTTAAGTTAACGTCCTCACTGTTTCATTCATCAATCCAGACTTCTGCCATTTTCCCCCCTCACTTTCCACATGCTTATCTTTTCCAAAAACCTCACAACAAACCCTTCAATCTTCATTCGTTTCCTCTCAAACCAGTAAAACCTGACAAATCTCCTTTTTTTTTTTTTTTTTTACTAGTTACATGACATCACTGCTACCTGACTGAGGCTAAAACCTCCTCTTAACTAACTACAAAACACTTCTAACATGTAGGAGCGACACCAAAATCGGAACAATTAAATGTAGCCTCACTGAATTCAAATACACATACACACATGTCCTGTTAACATACTAGTCTGTGGATTTCAAAAACTTAATAACTGACCTTGTCTACAATTTGAACCTTTCAGACATTAGCCACTGCTCCAGGCCTCGAACCCTGCCCCCTCCCTCATGTCCTTCCTCTGTGAGCAGGCCCAGCCCACTCCTGGCCAGCACTTTTCGGCATAAATAGTAAGCAGTGCTACAGGTGCACACAGTATGATAGGTAGAGAGAGCAGCTAGCTACAGTAGCGCTCCTCTGGCTGGATATCAGCTTCGTTTAAATGCCATGTACTGTATTATCCGCATTTCAATCACTACTATATGGATTTTCAGACGAGGAAAACCCCAATAAAACTGTTAATTGATAACTGTCTGCTAATGATAAAAGAGTAACATAACTAAATGCTAGCTAAATATACATTATTTATAATATTTATTTTTGCTAGGTTTTATCAAAAGAAATATGTATATTTCATATAATTATGCTATTTTTTCAAGTAAGAAAATATATTCAGGTTTCCATTCTGGGAAACCTAAGGCACTATCAAGTTTTCAAGAATTTACCTTTTTTTTATTTTTTAAATAGCTTGTTTGGTTACATGTGGCCCGTACAAAAAGGTGAAAATACACCCAGCCAGGTATAAACGGGGCAAGAAGGAGAAAAACTAGAAATTTCTTAATCTCTAAAAGTTCATAGATTGTCACACCATCGCTCATGCAGTGACTTGACGCAGATACTGGCAGCGCATTCCCCCTCGCTCACTAGTTCATTGGTAGACAGGCATGAGCGGTGTGTGAGTCAGGTGGCGATGGGAGTTCATAAGTTGACATCACGTACATCTGTGGGGGTGCTGGACTGGTCTTGCTGCTCCCTCGCTTTGTTGCCTGCTCTGACCCCAGTCTCCTGCCGGTACTGCTGGCCCTGCTGCAGGCTGGTGGCCAGCACACGCTCGATTTGCTCCTGGCACGCCCTCAAACAATCCTGGAACAAAAAGGGTCAGACGTTGTTACACATGCACACTTCCATTACACCTCTGTCAGTGTGTAAATCCTTGTATGAGACGCCAGCCATATACACACACCAACCAAACAACCCTGTGGAAAATTTTTTACCAACTTTGTATGCATTCATCTGTCCTCCCACATGACATGCATGGTATCCTTTTTTTCCAACACAAACTCAGCTACAAGTCTGACTTTTCATTTTGATAATCACTCAAAATATTATTATAGAAGAGTTGAAGGTTGTAAAATATGTTGTTTCGGTATTTATACACAAAAACACTGCAGAAAAATGTAAGCGATAAAACTATAATACAGTCAATCTGTATCTAAAATGATTTCATCGCAACTTCTTTTCCTTCTAAGTCTATGTGTATGCCTGTAAATCACTGACAATATTAATAACTCAAAGTTTTACATTGTGTTTTAAAAGAATGTTATGGTCCATGGACATGAGAATGAAATATTGCGTGACAGCCCCACCATCAGCTGGTTTTCTCAGCTGGTCTCTACATGATATACAAATGTTACTATAGTTATAGCTAGTTTAATTTGTACACCTGTATGCAGACACTAGCGTGCAAAAATCTGGCATTTTTCTTGGCACATCTGACATCTGAGTTGTTTAACAGCTTTGGTCACATGCATGGCATACCAGCAGGGAATTATGTCTTTTGCTGTAGGTGGTCCTGTCTGCATCAGGACCAGAACAATGGGTACCAGTACACTCCGATACCAACAACACAGAGCTGCGAGCGGCACGGTGGGCACAGGAGTCCTCTCTGACACGAGACCTGTGCATGTCTGAGGTATGAGTGAAAGGGGCGAGGGAGGGATTGGAGGGTCCTAAAGAGCCCTGTGGTCTATCAGGGGACAGATAAGCAGATCTGAAACTCCGGACTCCCTTTCTCCACCCCCCCCTGCCCCCCGCCTCTTGGGGTTTACAGCACGGTCAGTCCCATGTGGAGACCTAGAGGAAATGGCTTTGACCTACTGCACCCTGACCTCTGAGTTTGGGTGTAAAACAGAATATAGGACAGTGGGACCGGATGTTTTTGGACAAGTTCTCTTGTGAAAGGGGATCTTCTCTCTGTCTCTGTCCCCTCTGCAGGTCTGTGTTGAAGATGTGGGAGGTCTGCCTCACTGAGCCGGCTGCAGGAATCTTAAAGAATGCACGAGGCTCGCAAAGAGGCCAGCATTCCTTTGAAATGTACGGATAATTGGAACCTGATGGGCTGCAGTCGGGGCGCCTGTTGTGACGGCTGGGTTTGCGGGGCACTCGTCGCCGTGGCAACATAACCACAAGCGAAGAGGCAACCGTGTTGTTCCTGTGGCCGTTCTGGATTTCTAGGCTTCTGAACTGGTCCTCTGGTGTCACAAGATACTGTGACAATGAAATCACACACTGGGATAAATTTGGTATATGTAGTTTATTTTTTTGTGTGTGGGTGATTCAGTTCACTCCAATTGTATTTATAACACAGCACCTCTATATAGTACAGGGTTCATTCACAATTCAAAATGCTTATTATTGCACACTGATGCAAATGCACATAAACTCATTTGGATGGAGTGTGCAGTTTATGAAGTATATAATACATTAAAGTCTATGGCCCATTCCCTCCCACTGTATTTATAACCTAAATTTCAAATTAACTGATCAATTCCATTTTGATGACATTTATAGTTTATGAATTGTTATGAGATTATATAATGTATTAAAATCTAGCCATTGACTCCCATTGTATTTATAACACAGCACCTGAACAGTATACACTACAAATTTTCAAGGTACTAAAATGTACGTAAACTAATTTTTATGATGACATTTACAGTTTGTGAGTTTTACGCAGTAATGTATTCAAGCCTACGTATTTTAAAGCTGCATTCACTTCCACTGTGTCTACTGTATAACTCAGCCATTCCATTACAGTCAATGACTGTTTGTAGATTAATCATCATCATCAAGTCCAAAAGTGTCTGTCTGCAGGTATGAGGACAGCTTGGATAACTTTCTATTTCTTCATTGGCATTTACTGGAAAAGACACTCCTTCACTTCATTACGAACATATTCCTCCACCAGGAGGGGCACACAGCTTAAGTGGGAGCCATGCAAAGAAATTGCATGTGTCCTACCACAAGAATGTGGGCTCTGAGTTTTAAGAAGACATTCCCTCTGCCGCTGCTCTTTATAGCAGCAGTCTGGCTCCCCAGACAAGAGCCAAGAGCTCGCTCTCCCTCTCTCTCCATGAAAAGTAAATAGCTTCAATCTGCCACTACTGAAGTCATCGCTGTTGTTTACTAAAGGGCCTTTTATGCTGCTGTCGTGAGATTTTGCAATGATTATTATTAACGACGCATTGTTGTGCAGCACTAAAACTATTGAGCAATTACTCCTGGCAGGTATAAATCTCCTCCACCGCAGTACTCACCACCTCTGTGTTGGTGATCTTGGCCAGCAGGTCTGTCAGGTTGTCTCGACTCAGCCTCTGGTCGGTGTGGTCCAGCTGTAGGCCACATACAGCAGCTCCCATGCTGCCCGTGGCGATCATGGAAGGAGGGTTCATGGCAAGGCGGTCATCTGGCAAGGAAAGAGGAAAGAGTATTAATGTTCAATTAGTCAAGCAGCAGCTTCAGGCCATAGTGACACACTGAAATCACATTTGTAACTGTGACACGAAGGGCCATAACACTTAAATCAGCCCAGAGGAAGTATGAGAGATGCATGAGAGGTGCAAACATCTGAATCATCCAGAGCTCCACAGCTGAACCTGACTTTCCCACAGTCTGAATTTCAACAGACAGGGCTACACGGCTGAACCTGTGTGGTTTCCTTCATAGAAACTACGGCTGTGATTAGAAAAGCAGAGTAGGAAGCCTCCTACTCGCTGAGAAATGAGTTCCAGCAACGACTCCCTCCAGTCCATATCCAAGTCGAAAAGACTTAAGCGAGAACAGGCCTGGATGGAGGAGGCAGGAGAGGAGGCAGCCATGAAATGAACAACGAAGACCATCAACAAAAGTACTGAGCTGAAGCTGCTTTCAACAGCTCATGATTTCAGCTCTCGCCTTGACAGTCATTTTCATTTTATGGGAAACCCTGGGGTCGTATCTCCTCCGAAATGACCCTCTAAGTTCACAGTTTCCTCTTGAACACAAAGCTGCTGAGAGAAATCATTACAGAAGAACTGCGAGACTCTTGAGCTAAAAGAAGGGATGTGATTGATCCCGTTGCTATGGATGATATCATGTTTCATGACCTCACTACGTCTACAGTAAATGTTTAACAGGTGACCGATCCGTGTCAGTGAGTACAAAATGAAATCAAAATCACTACAGTGAGGGTGAGGAACAAATGGATATATACACAGAGCTATATAGATGGGTAGCTAGATAAACTGATTGAGGCTAACTGCAACGACCTTGTTGGTGGGCGAGTTGCATAGACACTACATTAGAAAAAGAATGCATGAAGTAAAAAAGACGATGTGTCTGGTTCTGCTGCATCAGTTTTTATACTTTTTGTTTGAGCTGTCCATTGTGAGTCTGAAAATGTTACACAATGTTAAATTGTTGGCGAATTCTTAATAACTTCCCCACACAACAAAAGGCTTTTAGAAGTTTTAGTTATTGCTGTATTTACTCTGAAACTGACGTGAGAAGCAACATATCCTGCAGCAGCTGACTGACTGTGACCGGGTCTACCTCTGCCTTCTCTCAGACTTTTGGTGCTAAATTGCTTTGTGATTTACTTAAAAAGGAAAAAACTTAGAACTGACACACCCCTTATTTTTAGGAGTTTCTCCTAACCCTCCTAAGTTTGGAGCTACTTTTAGCGTTAACATTTTTTGTGAAAACAAGCCCCTGGTGATTTTTCCACAATTACAACACACAGGCTTCTTCCGGTCTCAGCACATGCACATAACGAACACTGATCTCAAAAGGCAGGAATTGGCATACACAGTTGTTAACTGTTGCACAAGTCCGACCCGGCACACAGTCGCAGCCGAGTGCAAACCAGTCCTGGTGGCCTGATAGCTTTGATTAAACCCTGGAGAGCTGCCTGCTTCACTACGCCCATCTTCTCCTCCAGGGACCAGCTGTCCATAGGAGGAGCTCCTCCATCATAAGAATAACATCTCAACTCCATATAAAACTCCAAACATTTACATTACTGCAGAACCACAGCAGGCCTCCTTTTTTTCCACTGTGGCTGCTTTGTGCTTGGATATAACTAGCTGCTTATGAATAGCAGGCGACCACTGAAACACACCCAAATATAAAAAAAAACAAAAAACGTGTGACACTAAAACTGTGCTAAACAGGGCATGAAACTCATTGAAGGAGCCTATGGTTCCAATAACTAGCTCTAGTAAACAAGTGCTTATTGGCCAGATCTGACTTCACTGGCATTTGTGAGGAATTTCATTGCACTAAAGTGACCTCCTTTGTTTTATTTCCGTCATTGAATTAGCGGAATGGATGCAGCAGATGAAAGGCAGCCTTGTGACAGAGGAGTGCTGTACATTATGTGTATTAGGTGATCCTGCAGTCGTGTTTCTGTCCAGGATATGAAAATATTAGAGGGATTCCTAGTATAGACAAAGGAATGCCATGAAATTCACCTAGGAAGAGGCCTAAGGGGACATCTGAGTTTGCGCTTCTCCAGAGCCTCCAGAGTTTATTCTGGACATGAGGCCAGGATGGGAGGAGGAAGGAAGATCACTGGATCGCTGCCCTGACTTTTTAAACCTGGAAGCTTCTCTGTCAACAAACAATACAGGCAGAGCGGCGCAGAATTTCAGCTGCACCCGAGTCATACATCAAACTGTGTGTGTTTGTGTGTGTGTTTGCTGGAGTAAAAATTATAGTATGATACAATCACTGCCATTACCATGTACATAGCTAATCTAAACACAGCACTGATAGGATTTTTCTCAGGCACTTAGCCGAGAAACATGGAAATGACCACTCTGAGCAGCTTTTTGCAGCTGGTCCTCTGTTGAGAAAACCCCTACTACAGACTGCGGAGAGACTAGAAAGTGGATAAGGCAGCCAGAGGAGTATGCTGAGAGAAGAAAGAGGTCACAGATGACTCACGATGGGAGAATGTTTGTGTGTGTGGGAATATTCTGGTGGATGTGGGAATAACAAGGCAGCGAAGTGAATGTGCGAGTGAGCAAGCACACGAGGCACACGAAATGATCCGCAGCTGTGTTACCTGTGGCACAGAGGGCGATGAATGTCAGCGTGTGTTTGCGGACCATCGCCAGTTTGTCTTTGGGAAGGGGCAGCCTGCGTATGATGTGCTCTATAAAATCATTGGGAATGACAGAGGCCATGTTCCACTTCAATTTCCCCAGCACCACCAGCTCCCAGTCCTAAAAGACACAGAAAAAAGATGATCAGTTCAAATTCAGTTTCTTGGCACAATCCCCTCAGTCAGAGGGTTAAATGGCGTGGTGCCATGCCTCCATTGACCGTGAAAAAGATCACAGTCCATCCCCATTCCCAGAGGAAATGGCTCTGTAAGAAGAGTAACATTTCTTCACTTTATCTCTCCTCGCTGTATCTTATTATCTGCGTGCCTTTCTCATTCCTCGCATCCTTTGTGTTCATATCGCCGGCATGTGACAAGCTTTGCCCTGCTTAGAGGCCCAGCCAATGAGACAGCTAGCCCCTTCCTTCCTGTCACAAGCCTCAAACAGCTAGCATGAGTTTGCACTGCACAAGCAGCAGCACAAAGCTGACTCTTCATACAGTCAGTCTTTGCACCAGCAGAAAAAGGTGCACACATTTAATGATTTAATTTCCTGTGTGTTGAGTAAGTCTTCACAACTTGCCATCAAAAATCAGTTTACTCAAGTTTTAATGTTTTCCTCTGTGGCTTTCAGTATTTCAAATGAGTAATAGAAAGAACAAGGGCACAACTTAAGTATCTCTATAAAAATCTAATCAAGACTTCACTATATAAAATGTGTGACTCTACACATGTAATGGTTTGTGAAAGTGTCTTAAGATTTAGAAACATGCACCAATACTTTGAAAATGTCTGCTCACGTTTGTGAACGTCAAAATCACGTAGCACTGAAAATAGGTTTTAACACAAACGCTAGAAAAAAGCAGAGACACATTCAGCTGTCATTAACATCATCACCACTAATACAATGTTCTCCCCCACAGCCTCATGAGTGGCTGCCCCAGGATTTCCATAAATCTCACTCTGCTAATTTAACAAATGAGATTTTCTTCAGACCTCCACAGATAAAGACGGACTTGGAGACACTCTCACAAATCTTAGTACACATCTTTCCAAACCTTCACAATACTTTGTAGTGAATATTTAAAACTGGGTTTCACAGAACAAATTTCAGCAGCTTTTCCTGACTTTCTCATCTTGGTCCCCAATGAAATAATTGTCTGTCACTGTCCCCAATGACGGCATCAATTGTCACCTTGTAGTATGAAAACTGTTATGTCTGCGGCGTTATTTCATTAAGAGTGCAGATTCACTGTGTTACCCATGAGGAATCGTCTATGAGATGACAGCATCTTGAGAGAAGACTTATCCTTGCGTTTCTTTACTTTACCATGGACATTCAGTTGCCAGTTTATTAGAAACACCCAGCTAAAACTAATGCAGTTTTGTTGAAACTGTCGACTGAACTGTATGGTAATTTTGGAGACTGCGGTTTGTGGTACTGTTGAACTGTACTGCATTACACTGACAGGTGTTTCTATTATTTTGTCCAGCCTATTTATATCAATAAACCAGATGTCCACTGGAAGTACAAGCAACTAAAGTGGGAGACTGGACAACATGTGACGGATTCTTTTAAAGAACTGTGATGAATAAATGCTGATGATTTCAACTTCTCACTTCCTCTACAGAGATGCATCGCCTAAAAAAGCAAACGTAGTAAACACCGAAACCCCAACACCATCAGGGACAGCCCCCACCCTTGTCGCCATACGCTCATCTGTTATCTGAAATGTCAATCGTCATTCACATTTATGTGGGTTCCCAGTACATAACCTGCTGCACACATGCTTGCATTTAACCTATTTATCCCCTGAGGAGACTGTTGACTGTGAGATGAGCGGGGCGGAGGTTTGCTGTCGGTGTGCTCACTTCCTGGACAGCTGCCCCGACACACACAATCACACACACACACACACACACACACACAACCACCCCTCCACCCCCTTAAACTTCTCTCTTCCAGCTGAAGCACCAGCAGCAGCAGCAGAGTGTTCATTACAAGGAAGAACTGCAACATCTTTCCCTGGCCCTCGCCGCGTCCTCTGTGCATCCTGTGAGGATATCCAGGAATCTGGAGTCTTACGACAATATGGAGCATCAAATGGGACGAATGTCATTTCCCTCAACAGCTGCAGGCAACACAGGAGGATGTATAGAGAGCATGTGGAACTGTTTGGTTGAAATAAGAAGCAGGTCCATCCTTTAAACTGACAAATGGTCAAGAGCTGAAACAAATCTATTGAGTGGTCGTCTGACGGAAATTCAATTTGCAAATATTTTGATATGAGATTAACTGGTTATGGCATTTTAAAACATAAATGCTGAGCATTACCTCATCCCAGGTTATCAACAGGGAGGATATGCTGCTTTTCTCTAGGGCTGCAACTAAATATTTTCTCTATTTATCATTTTGTCTTTAAAACATAGAGAGGAAATGACCATTATGTTTTTTATGTGTCATTTGTCCTCATCAAACTGCCAGTTTTGTCCAACCAAGAGTCCAAAGATATTCAGTTTAAAATCTTCACATCTGAGAGCCTGAAACCACAGAAGTTTTGACTGAAAAGATTCATTTTCTGTCAATCCACTATTCGATCCAGCTCTACTTTTCTTCGTCTTAGCTATGTGATAGTAAGTGGAATATCTAAGAGGCTGAATCATGGAAAGTTTGAACATAAAACAGTGAATTCAATCTGCTTATAAGGACTGTGTGATACGGTAGAAAGCTCCAGAACAAGCTTGTATGTGGACCTCGGGTGGAAACTTAATATCCTGAGCTGCTGTCACCTTCGGCTTTCCAGAACTTGTGATGGGCATTTTTCACAATTTTCTGACATTTCATAGAACAAATGATTAATGCATTAAGCCAGACGATAAATGGCACATTAATCAATTATGTAAATAATAGTTACTTGCAGCCATCCCTTTGTTTCCTGGTAGATACTTCAATCACTGGTCTTTAAGTTTGTTCAATAAGCTGCATATTGGTAAAAAAAAAGAAAAAGAAAAAAAAAGAATCAAAAGTATTGACGTGAACCTCATAAAGAGATATACTCCTCTTATTAACCCTTATATAAATGTGGGGAGGTGAGAGGAAAGTGCATTTTGACTGTATTTACATTACAAATCCTTTAATATCTATTGGAAAAACAGAGCTAGTCCATTTATTTTAGGATAAATCCAGAAACTATGCTGCATAACTGGCACTAGATGGCATCACATGCCTCTCCAGTCCACATGGATCCAAAGAGAGGATGTGGCTGTATTGTGCACAGCTCCACTTATAAGGAAAATGGGATACTTCCTGTGAAACAAATTAAGCTATTAGCATTATAAAATCATCCCAAAATGTGACACTGCATTTTTATGCCCCCATGGAGGAATGAATGAATGGGGCTTTTGAAAGTCCAGTTCTTACCAGCAGTTCTCGTGGTGTGATGGAGTTGTCTGTGTACATGCAAAGTTTTTCCGCTGATAGTGGCCTGCTGTCCTTTAACTTGGAGGCCAGGAACATGCACACAGCTCCCAGAAGCTGCAAATAACTCTTTCTAGTGGGCATCACTGCTAAAAATCTGTCCAAATAATTAATGGCTAAAGGAAAGATGTCTTCGTTACACTTCTCCTCTTCACACACCTAGAAAGAGACAGAAATATAACAAAAAAATGAAATATTATATTGTATTTATTAGTGGAATTAATAGAGGAAAAAACTAAAAGAAAACCAGATTATTTATACGTGCTTTAAAGCAGAGGAGCAACTAAATGTGGGGGTGGGTCTGCTTACAGCACTGTGATTTTTCCATGCTTGTGTTGTCTTTGGGTTAAAGGTTAAATCACTAATTTTAACATCTCTTTAGTCAGTCATAAGCTGCAAAGTCAGGACAAGGCAGAAACAAATTACTTCAATAGGAAGTCCTTCAGCAACCCCCCCACCCCTCCCCTCGCCTCCTCTTCCTTGTTGGGGCTTGTCGTCTTTAAAAAATATTTAAAAAATAAAATAAATCATCTGGGAGCTTTACAAACTGTGCACAATGTCCAAGAGTTGCGTTAAAATCGTTCCCGACTATTACAAACACGAAGCGTTAGCTAACACGACGTGGTTTTTATCTTCAAAAATGAAAGTGTTTTTTCTGCATTCACGTTGCCTGCCTTGCCTTGAGCTTGAGTCACTTTTAAAAATTAATAATAATTACAGTGAAGGAAAAATGTCGGGTTTTCGATTATGTTAATTAAGCCCAACTCCTCATCTGTCGCCTGAGCTAGCTAATTGGCAAAAGGCACCAACTTTGTAGCAGTTAACCAATGTAAATATCTAGCTAGGCTATTTCTTTGAAGCTTAATTTTCTTCGTGGTGGAATTTCCGACTCTCCCACGCCTTTGGTGAGTCATTGTCATCCAATTGTCAAATAGGTTAACATCCATGACAACTCTCTATGAACTAAAATACCTCGTTTATGTGCCAAAATTAGCTTAAAAGGTGCGTGTCAACATGCAAAAACAAAAATTAGCTAAAGCATCAATGCATGAAATACCCACAAACCTCGTGCATCCAGCCTGCAACGATTCGTCTCATATAAGGCTGAATATCCTTCTGGACCCTCTGGAAGTATGAGCATTGAGGTAAAAAACTGTCCTCAATTGTTAATAAACTTTGCAACACTCTGTCATCATAAAGGATGTTTGGGTCAGGCTGGGCTTTCACGGTAATGTCCGACTCCAGGCAATAAAGCTCCATGACTCGCCCCCCTTCTTCCCCCCCACTTCGTTTTTTTTTTTTTTAAACTAAATAATAAAAATAAAAATAATAAATAATGTCACAATATTATCGACAGCGGACAGGAGGAGGAGAAGTGCCCAGGACGAAGCATGAAGCTGAGACTGCTGGGTTTGCTCCAGTCCTGCTGCCTCTGGGTTTACTTCTTCCTCTGCTCTGCTCGGCGTCCAACCGGCCACACCGAAGAACAGAACATCCGGTACAGCCTTCAAAGTAAAAGCTGCGGTGTAGAATAAACCCCCACTCTTAAGCTGCATCTCTTCCAGGAACCATTTGCTTGGCTTTCTGCCTTGCTATTTAGCCTTTATCTGCCTTCCTTTAACATCTACCGCATCTCCTCTCTTACAATAGCCTACTTTGAAAGAGGCAGACACAGCGACCACTGACGTAGGCCTCATCTGCTCCCCAACTGGTTTTAGACTACAACCCACTTTTATGGAGCCTTTAGATCAGTGTGCATGAAATATAGGCTAAGAGCAAACAATGGACATAGCAATTACATTGTTTTGAGAGCTTTTTTGGTGGTTGCTGATTCCAGAAATTAAGAAACCCAGAAAGAAACTATAGAGCAATGAAATTACAATCCAAGCAATAAACATACAGTGCAGTACTGTCTCAAGGACATGGTGATGTGTTTAGTTGCAGCAAAGTCAGCATACTGTATATTTTGGTCGACTTAACTGTATATACTGTATATAAGAATAAAACAATATCATTTACCTTAACAACATACACCAGAATAACATATTATGACTAAATGATATTTTGTATTCGTCTGTGTAGTAGAAATATATTATAGTATATAATGTAATAAAACAGTGGAACATATTAATATAAGATAAAAAAATATATATGGTGAAATGTACTAATATTGTATGACATGATATAAAGTATAATATATACTACAGAATATAAAATACAACATAGTATAGTATACTATAGTATAATATAATATTAAGTAGTAAATATAGTAATATAATATATAATAAATATTATATATATTAGATGCAGCAGAAGCAATGTTATAAGTATCATCATCATCATCATTACAAAAGATAGATAGCATTATGAAAAGTACACTACATACTAAATTGATTACGTTACTTTGACTTTTATTTTAGTTTATTCATATGTGACATTATATTTACATTAAAATTACATGATAGTCCTGGTAAGATACAAACCCCGACATGGGCTTATGAGTACAACTTACCCCAAAATTAGATACAAACAATGAAAAAAGAAGTTACCAAGTAATTATGAAAAAATAAAAGTACCCAAATCTCACGTTATTTTATATGGGGCCTCTATACATCTCCAGCTGTAAATAAAATATGCTGAAAATGTTTTATTAACTTCCTTGAAGGCAGCATTTGAATGACTATCAACGAGAATGCTGCTGTATTGAAAACTGGAAGAATGCCATATTGCTGTACTGGCGTACAAATCATAGACTGTTTAGATTATTGTAAGCAGTTTATGGTACAAATCAGCACTTTGCAGTGTCTGCTATTAGATCTGTATATCCCCAAACCAGCTGGCCTAACACATGTCCTCACATGTGCTATAAAATGGAGACTGAAGAACTGACAAAACCTCTTTTAAATAGTCTCCCTCATAAGCCAGCAGGCTGTGGCTAACTGCAGAAGTACTAAAAACAGGCATGACAAGAATTAGTAAAATTCTTGCAAACATACAGTTCTCCATCCTTTGGTTATCTGCTGCTAGTTTACAGGGTAGCCTCTGCATCAAGTTATATATCAGTTTTAGCCTACTAACTACCCTATTGACCAGTTATCTCCCCATTAGCTAGGCTCTATTCTGGTTAGCCATATGATTAGTTGCGCTATACTTGTGGTTGACATTTTTGTTTTTTGGTGACATATTTTGACAGCTATTGGATGGATTGACATTAAATTACGTGCACCTATCCATGGTGCCCAGAGGATGAATTGCATTGACTTTGTTTTTCCTCTGACTTTTCATCTCATTCAAATCAAAATATAAATTTATCCAATACTTTGGTTTATGGCCTGCAAAACTAATGACATTGTCATCAGACTGAGCTATACTATATATAGTATATATAGTATATATATACTATATACTTTAGTGCTAATTAGCAAATGTTAGCATGCTCACACACTAGACCAAGATAGTGAACATGGTAAACTTTACCTGCTGAACATCAACAGCTTTGTCATTGTGAGCATGTTAGCATGTTGATATTAGCATTTGTGTGCTAAAGTGTCACAGAGTTGCTAGTGTGGCTGTAGACTTGGTATACACTTGGTATTCTAACTATGACCACAGGTTCTCTATCTAACCATGTTTGATAGCCCTCACTTAAAGTCAATACACAGGCTCTCTGAAAACACTGGTGTTTCTAATCAGGTCATAGTCCTGCCACATGAGCTGGAATCCATGGGACACAGTGTGATGTTGCAGACATCCTTATGGCGAAGGGTGTGGACGGCATGTTGATCCCTTTCCAGAGAAAATTTTTCCGTAAAGGAAGTCCTTTGGCATGGTGGCATGCCAAAGCATGAAAGGAGGATGAGGATGGACATGCAAATCTGCAGAGAGCACTTATAAAAAAGTGTTTGTTATTTTGTCCTTCTAAGACAGGATCTAATCTGTAAAAAGGTAGGATTATAATAGAAGAGGAAGTTATGAAGTTGTCAACTCCCTATTACTTTTGATCTATGAAGGCCATTTCAGTTCTGTGTGGTTCTCTGTGCGGCTGTAAGTGCCAAATTCTTTATCAGAGACATCAAAACATGCACAAAAAATCTTTTCATGCATCTAAATTTGCTGCTTCCGATCATGTGTAAGCATATTTGCAGTTGGGGCAAACTTTGAGTCGAGCTGAATGACAGTGGCTGAACTGAAGCGCTTCTCACTGGAACAGCTTCACAAACTTCCCCCTTTCACAGTCGCCACCAAAGAGCTGAATGAGATATGAAGTTTCACTGAGAAAAATAAAAGAGCACTGTGGAGCTATTATGAGAGCAGACTGTGAAGTGAGAGTGGGAACTGTCTCCGAGGGAATGTCAAGGTTAGCAAGATTAGTTCTACTTCAAAGGAGGGGGTGTTTGTTTGAGAGGATTCATCTTAGAATTGAGATTTCATGTCAGAGGGTTATCCCTTTGTCTGTCCATGAAGAGGCTGACAAATCCCTGGGTCAGTGTTTTTGTCTGAAGGGGGTCTCTCCGCAAGAGGCCAAAGAAGCCTACCATACCAGACATTCAAAGCACTGACACTTGAGGGAAACAGAGGTGTTAGACAGATAAAGCAGCCTTACCCTGTTGCTGCTGTTTGTGCATGTGTCCTATGATAACACATGTCAGCCGCTATCACACACTCCGGGCAGCACAGAGGTAACAGAGAGCGACCAAAGCCCTGGGAAAACGTGGAGGAGCGTGAAATCACCTTGATCCAAAGATTCCTGCTGCATACCAGTCCACTGAACCCACCAGAGCACAGGGGCCCGGAGATGGGCAGCCTGCCACAGATCAAGAGAAAGAGACAAAGAAAGAGAAAAAGAGAAGAGGTGGAGGGTGATAGTCAAGATCTTTAATCCTAGAGATTGGTTTAAAGCTCAACATCATCTTATGTATTTCCTGTGCGAGATCAAGTAAGTCGCTCCATGAGGGAGGCCTCTCTCGGATATAAACACAGGATTTACTTTTACATGCCAGTTTCGGGGCCAAGCTTGATTACAGGTTGCCCATGTGCTCTGAGTCAAGCTGGCTGTTTGGGTTTACTGACAGTAGAGAAGAGGATGCTATGGCTGGAATGCTGTGGTGTGAACAGTGGTGAACACTCCTCCCAGTGCTGAGTGATAGCTGGTGTAGCTCAGCCAGTAGAGTAGATAAAGTGGCTTCTGTCCGTCACATGGTTGCATACTATATGCTTTCACATCAAGTGATTACACCCCGCTGGAAGTGGACTAAACGCCCGTTCCCAAACATGAAAAGTAGGCGACATAAATGTTCATGGTAGTTCTTGCTCTTTCACATGCTATTCTGGTCATGCTATCAGCAGCGTGGAGGGCGCTTCTATCACGAGTGTCACACATCAAAGCCGTCCTGTCAATGCCACTCGCTGCGGGGAAGCTGAGGGGAAAACTGGGAAAGAAGGAGCTTTCCAGGGGAAGTTCAGCAAATCATGTGCAGGATTGGAGAAATAACTGCTCCCAACTGCTGCTGTGGTTTTCTTTACTCAGCATCTCATAATTATATTTTTTAGATGTGTAAATCCCACTTCCGTAGTGCTTGAGCAGCTCCCACCATCAATCCTTAAGACGTGACTGGATGCCCTGTGGTGCAACCAGCTAATTTGCACTCAACTACGCAGCAAGATTAGAAAACAAATGGAGCGTCGTCAAATCAGCACAGGAAAAAGAGGGTGTTCCCCGCACAGTGTCCTAGGAATGTTTTGGCTAAACTGAAAGCCATCATTCAAACTCAAATGCCAACATTGAGGAGACAATGACGGGACAGACAGCAACATCCGGGCCTGGTCTTTAGTTGTCTTGGTCGTGAACACAAGAGGGTTTCTTTTCTGCAGTTTGGGCCTCGGTCACTGCTGAATCTCCCCCCTCTTGCATTTAGTCTGTATACAAGTCTGACGTCCGGCAGCTTGCATCCCTCACTCCTACCAGAGCCTCCGAGAACATTGCCCTATTCTCCACCATGCACTCAGGAGTAACAGCAGACAGAGGAGGGGAGAGGAAGAGGGTACATTTTAAACAAAAGAGGTCCTATAATCAGACAGAGACAGGCTAGTTGTTTCCTCTTGTTTCCAGTCTTTATGCTAAGCTAAGCTAACCTACTGCAGGCTGTAGCCTTACAGATACAAGAATGGTGTCGAGAGACAGAAAGTAAATAAGCGTATTTCCCAAAATGTCACACTGTTCCTGTAGGAATGTGAGAAATGTCCTAAATTTGCAAAAATTTCCGATGTATTATATATAGATCTGATTCCCTATCCAAAACTGTGTAAGAACATTAATTTTTCTATGTGTGGGGGTTGGGCAGGGACACTTAACACAAAGGGGAAGCCTGGATTAAGTCATAGGCGGCAAGCGACATAGGTTGGATTTTAAGTGGGTGAGATCACATCCTCTCATTTCACAGTGAACA